ATAACGTATCCAAGGAATGTAGCACATTTAATCTTAACAGATTTAGTTTAGTAGCAGTAGAGCTCCTTGTGAAAGAATTTGCATTTTATTTGTGGCTGTTTTTCCTACATGAGTAACGTCTGCATTGCCTTTGACAAGTCGTTGATATAGATGAGGAATAACAAAGGTCTTAGTATTCATCTTTGCGGGACTCCTTACACCAGAATTCACTTCTTAAGAATGTGTAGGAAGATTTTATCATTCAAATGCCTGTTATAGTTTTGTAAGCTCTGGTAACCGTTTATATTTTTATGAGACGCTTTCATAGTTAACTATTTTGCTTGTGTTATATTCATTGCAAGTAATAGAAAGCCATCCTCAAAATTCTTACTTGACAATCTACAGTAACAATATATTCATCATTTATATTCTGTAAATCTGTAGAAAGTGGTAGATCGTCCTCTACAAGTAGCTAAATCCTTATACTTGCTATATAAGTATGCATGAACTCACTGTAAATTATAAAAAATGTATTTGTACAATTTTACTCATACCCGTCCAATTAGGAAATATGCAAATGTTGCTTAAAAAAATATTGATGTCGTGGCCATGTGCGCGTGAATTTTGGCAATACAGCCCTTTTGTAAACATATACATATAATTTAAAAGCTGAAATGAGCAACGTTTACTTTCGCCATGAGATAAAGTTTAGCTAATTTTATTTATTACCTTATGTCGATAAGGTAATTATATTACCTTATCGACATAAGGTAATTATATTCGTTTCACACGTCCCAAATGATTTTAAAATAAAATAATCAGTTGCATAATATCAAGTTTATACCGGTATCATAACATCTGACAGGTAGGTACAAGTAAGTACGCAGATGTCGTCGGAATCAGATTAAATGGATTAAATTACTTGCACTTCCCTCTCGCTAGCTACCTACCTCCGACTGTGCATAATAACATTCTAATCTCACCAAGCGTGTGGTGATGTTGCTGAATTCGTTCAGCATGACCACACGTACATTCTACGTTCTGATAGATAATCGGACATGCTGTCAATAACTCGTATAATCGTAAGTTATTGAGGTCACTGGCGTCTGTTGCAGTGACCACAAAAGACCTAGGCCCCAATTCTGCAAATTTTTTTAAACCACTGGTCATTGTAATTCCATTGAAACTCCACTGACATTATATTGCAATTACAACAACTCTATTGAGTCTCAATAGAGTGACAGTGGAATAGCAGCGATGGCATTCGTTCATTCAATCGCTAACGATCAATGTTGCCTTACCAAAACTACCATGGAAATTACTACGCACATCTTATTTGATATCTCATTTAATCTTCTTTTAGTCGTGAAATCAAATATGCATAATATTAGTAGACTACATCATTGACGTGCCATCGACTCACCATTGAAGAGAAGAATACTAAAAAATTGCTATAGCAGTTGGATGGAAGTTCGATTACCAACGTACAAAATCCTACCATTGACACTCTATCAATATACAACTAAGATGATTTAAAATTAGCAGACAAGTCTGATCTGAGTATGATATCACATTACGCATAAGAACTGGGTGGCCTTTTCCCTTGTACGCGCAAATATGAAAGGCATGGTCTCCTCCGTCAGAGCAATTGAGAACCGCAAAAGACTCAAAAGCCGGTACTTACTAGCGAGCCGTTACATGTTATGTTACCAAAAATCATAGTGTGTACGTGGTTTTCAAGCCCGCCGCGAGTGGAACGCGTGCGGTTCGTTGTGAGCCTATAATAACCAAGTACTCATTCTAGCTAGTGAAGACTGCTTCAAGCGTACATACTGAAACCTCGTTACTGTATCTAATGAGCACCCAGCTAACTACGCCAACTGTAATCTATGGAGTTTCGTATCTTTTGCCTTTGAAACCCAGGGTTCCTAAGAAGCACTGACGAGGTTCGTCTTTCATCAGTTTTCAATTCACGTCTGATGACTGGTGATCTCAAGCCTAGCAGTAATTTCGGCCAAAGAATAAGTCAAAAATATATGTTGCTAGATAGAGTTACTACATATTATTATTAGGTATTATTTGTCTGTACAAACCCTTGGCCTTGGTTGACCCTGTGGTCAAGAGCATGTAAAGCTGGACACTTCAGATTTAAATTCAACTCTATGCCTCTTGCGATAAGAACGATAGGATCGTTCTTATCACAAGAGATATAGTCCAAAGAGTTAAGATTGACTGATCGATTGCAATTCAAGATATTTTATTATTTTATATTTATTATTAGTATATATATTTATATATATTTATTATTAGTAGCAATAGAGCTCGTTGTGAAAGACTTCGTCCAGGGGAGTACTGCCACCTTATCTATTACTGCAGCGAAGCAGTAATATGAGCGTTATTATGTTATGATTTGAAGGGTAAGGGTGCCGGTGAAATTACAGGCACATGGAACTTGTCAACTTACGTCTCAAGATGACGAGCGCAGTGGCAAGGCACTTTAGATCTTTGCGATTCAAAGTTCTGAGCGGCACAGCTACTGTTGTGGGCAGGCGTGTCCCATCACTTGGTATCGTAAAAAAATATTAAATTTATTTAATACCTGTTATAAAAATCTATTGTGCGTATTATATTAAATACGTAAACTATAAATAAATAATTACTTGAACTTATTGGTTGAAAACCTTAATTCCTTTTTTTCTCGGTTTTTTTTCGGTCTTGGGTTCTTTTATTTATTATTTTTTCTTTTTTTGTTTACATTTATTGCTTTCAAGTTTTTCCATTGTTCTATTTCTACGTTATTTTTGCAACTTCATTTATGATTATCTGTGCTACATAGGGCACACTATATGTTTCCGGAACTGGCCAGTTACATAAACAATATTTAAAAAGTAATTACAGTACAGTACAGTAGTGTAGAATGCAGTTTGTTTCATCTGACTGTCACTTGTTTTTACATTGTGGCGTCATTTTAGAAAGTGGTTGTCTACATCACCATGGATTTAACTCGTGAAAATTTCCGTAGTATGATTTTCTACAGCTCAGCGGAGCTTCACTCGGCTTCGAACTGCTTTTGGCGATGAAGCACCGTGCAAGACGACTATTTATAGCTGGTTAGCAGAATTCAAACGCGCTCGTATGAATCTCAGTGACGAATTTCGTGATGGTCGTGGACGGGCACTGTGAACAACAAAAACATCGATGCTGTGCGCCGTATGATCACTTATAGTGCGCCCCACGTATTAGATTAGATTTCCATGACATTGAATTTATCGTATGTGTTATTGTAATAACTGCC